CAGCAGCCATTTTTTTTATTGCTGCTGACAGTGGGCCTGCTTTAACAGCCTCACTTCCCAAACTAATTGGTTATATTTAATCGCATATGGTTTTGGAAACTAACTGCTGTTGATAAGTAAAACAGAATAAAAGCAGTATTTGTGAGTGATATTTGACTGGTCATTTTGCATGTCAAGGTTATGAAAGACTTTATGAATTGTCTATCATAGAACTTACTGTATACTTTCTGGTTTTGAACTGTTCTCTAAGTAAGTGATTTCTTATTTCATGGGAACTTATGTCTCATAACACCTAGAATTCTACTCGAGTCCCTCACTTGTTTTATTAAGTAACAGGTGATAAAAGATAGGGAATAATAGGGTCATCATTACCAAATTATATATGACTTAAGACTACTAAATGTAAATTGCTTTCCCCACCCCCTGATATTTATGAGCAATCTTAATACGTCTGTTGGCTAATCTGAGTCTAGTGCCTTAGCTAGCAGCAAACTATTGTTAGCTGATTGATTTGTGGAAGCAGTAAATTGTTGTAAGCTATTAGTCATTATAAAACGGGACGTTGTAAGATTTTGGGGTTCTATTATATTTTTGGCCTCTGGAAAATTGTTTTTTATTATAAATATCTGTGTCATTAAGAATTTTGAAAAGTAGAATATCCAGACCTTTCCTTTTTATCTTTTCCAATTATTTTTTTAAATGCCACTTCAAAGACTTTATTTTTTCAAAGAAAATGAGATTTTGTTCATTATTTGATATATAGTAGTATAAGCAGATTCAGTGTTTTAAATATTGTTACTGTCATGCATGTTAAGTTTAGTAGATTCAACTACTATATTATTTTTTTCCTCTTTGTATCTATAGATTTAAAAGGTGTCTGGATCTTTTATCACTTAAAGGATTTTAATTTTTGAAGTATATGAAGTATGTTTTATTTTCCCCAGCCCCTCTTTATCTATCCTGTTATTTGTTGCCCACATATATCCTGAGGGAATCATAAATGTAAACAAGCATTTTCTCATGTGATGAACAGGAAAGAAGAAGCCTCTCAAGCCCTTTATTGGACCATTCAGGAGGGGATAATTGTCAGAATAATAGCCATGCTCCCCATCCCCCTAAAAAAGATCATTTGTCTTGTTTGTTCACCACATACACTTTTTGGGCACCTCTTCCTGGGACAGACTTGACTACTTAGCCCATTAATAGCAGCCTGGAGGCAAGCATGACTACCCAGTAATATAAGAACTCATCAGTGCCAGCTCTACCTGTTTATGTGCTGTTTGTTTAGTACATGAGAGCAGCTAACAGCTGCTCAGAGGAGGGAAGCAAATGGGCACCTGCCATGATGTGGCTGCTTTTGATGTAAAGTGAGAGTCTGTGTTGGGCTGTTGATTTAGCATGTACAGATCTCTAAAAAATGACCACAGGGATGGGGGCATGGAAATTGAAGCAATATTTTCTTTCAGATTGAAACTCAGGTTTACAGGTTTTTAGGATTCTTCATTGACAATCAGTTAATCAAATATTTGATTTTGATTTTTATTCTTTTACAACAGGGTTTTGAGGCCTATAGTTTGGAGCTTTGCTTTAACTTGGTTTTCCAGTTGGAATTGTCTGTGTGTGTGTACATGCGTGCCCAAGGACATATGTGTGCAAACTCATATTTAACTAATTTTCATTTATGTGTAATTTCTGTATTTCACAATGAGTGTAAGTTGTCAAAGATGATACTGTCTGTCTTGCAAATTAAGTTACTAAATGAGAGTAACAGGGAAAATAATGCAGTGTTAAGATTTTTATGGAATCCTAAAAAGAAAGTTACCTACATGTAGGTTCAAAAAAGTTCCTGATCTCTACTGCATTCACACATACAGGTGTGGTATACTCTCCATTCCACTAAATACTGCTTTTTATTTCAGGACAGTAATACTTCATCCACAGTGAAATATTCTGTAAGAAATTGTACTTTGAAAATCTAATTAATTTGTAATAGAATTGAAAATTTAAAAAGTGCAGTCTTAATTTCTTTATACTATGCTTGATTGAATTGAAAAACTTGTTTGGTTTCATTTTTCTCAAAAAGTTGCAAAATTATTTTTTGCTAGGAGGATGAGAATGTGCCCACTGCTCCTGATCCTCCAAATACGCATTTGCATGGGCATGGGACAGGCTTCTGCTTTGATTCCAGGTAATTTTTCTCTTTCTTATGTAAAATGTGGGTTATATAGAACATGACTCTCAAAGTTTGGTTTCTGCAAACTTGTTAGAAATGCACGTGATTAGGGACCTACTTCATTCCTTCTGAACTTAAAACTCTTGGTGTTTTAACATGCCTTCCCGGTGATACTGATGCACAAAATCCTTTGAGAACCAGTGCTGTGGACACACTCAAATGAACACTGTTGGGAATGATAAGATGTATTAATTATAGGTTTACCAGTAGCATTTGTTGTTAGTTAAAAATTGATTTCTTGTCAGTAAGCCTCATTTCACATAATGTAATTGTATTTGGGGGACTTTAATGAAAAAAGGTTTTTCTTTGTCAATCTAAATGTAAAAGTAAATTTAGAGGTTTTATAAATGCTTTACACAATTGTCAGTAGCAACCATTTAGAAGCAGAAGGTTTCTGGAGTAACTGAAGACTTTCAAGGTAAATTGTTTAGTATGAATATCAGCTTAACTAGATAAATGTAGCCTTGTCATATTCTGAAGAATACTATTGTTAGATATTTATTAGAAATATGTAATTCTTTCATTTTCCTATTTCTTTAAGCTTTGATGTTCACAAGAAGTGTCCCCTCTGTGAATTAATGTTCCCTCCCAACTATGATCAGAGCAAATTTGAAGAACATGTTGAAAGTCACTGGAAGGTGTGCCCAATGTGCAGCGAGCAGTTCCCTCCTGACTATGACCAGCAAGGGTTTGAAAGACATGTACAGACCCATTTTGATCAGAATGTTTTAAATTTTGATTAGTTACTTTTTATTATGAGTTAATAATACAGTTTAGCAGTTTAAAAAAATCATCTCAAATAGACCACTAGGAGCCCACAGGTAATCACTTCCATGCACCCTCTCCCGTACTCTTCTGACCAAGATCTACTTTGAGTTTGGTGTTACTAGGGTTGGGGGGTCAATGTTTGGCTTATCGATAAATATAATTTTAACCTCTTTTAATCTTACCTGCTTAAGAAAAGAAGCTCTTGGGTGTTTGCATTTTCATTTATTCCCCAGTTTGCAAAATTATATGACTAAAGGAAACAAGGATTATTCTAATGTTACTGCATTGGGAAGAAAAAGTATTATAGTTAATTATTTAGCAGAATATTTACAAGTTTCTGTTGACCTTGTTGGTTGAGCATGACTACTAAATATTATGTAATAATAAAAAGCATTTATCGTAACAGTCTTGCAAAGTAATTCTTTGAATACAGAAATTTGCATAATTTAGCCCATGAAATGATGTTTTTTTTTAAGCCTCTTAAGAAATGGAGCTCTATGTAGAATGAGATCACATGCTTGCAGTATGGCAAATATTCTTTTTATATTTGAAATATTTGCTTTAGGAATTAAGGGAAGGCATATTTTACTAATTTTGTGACTAAATTTTTTTTAGAATAGCCTGAACAGTTATGTTTAAGCCATCTTAAAGTTATTATTTCTATCATGGGAAAATGGAATAAGGTATGTTGTACAGTTGTTTCATATTATATGATCTACTAAATAGTGGTGTTTGTGGCATAAAATCACAGGAAATGTATCCTTATCTTTTTCACATTTTCCTAATTAGAGTATAACTTTGAAATAACATTCTCAGTGATTAAAAATGTAATATGTAAATAAGTTGTGTTTCTGCCATGTATAGTATTCATTAACATTAAAGAGGACACATTTTTGGAGGTGATTTTATTGTCAAATTTATTTGTGATCGTTTTTCATTAATTCTAGCATCTTGAACATCTTTTTTTGTCTGAATTTTTAAAATGTTTTCGGAACTGTATTTCTCTTTTATACTATCAATATTAAGAATTTAAAGTATTGGTTTTTTTATTCTGCTGCTGAAAATACTCAAACTATTTAAGATGTTAAGTCAACAGCGTGGTTGCATTTGGGGTGCTGTATATGAACTGCATCATACATCTGTATTTGTTTCTAGGAGCGGAATTTGTGAGCGTTTCAATAGGTCAGTTGGTAGAGCGGAGGACTATAGGCTATGTCTAGGAGCAGAATTTGTCTATTGTTGGAATCCTTTAAAAAGGCTTTTTAGTCTAGGGAAACCAGATGTTTAGGACTTCATATTTTAGCTTCCTCAAGGTCACATGATAAGCAGAATATTTCAGAGAAAATGTTCTGTGATAGAGCATTTTTATTGCATTAGTAATTATGGACCATGATGACCTAAAAGTCTTTGAATATTATAGTACTACCACCAGTGAAATAAGATTATTCATTTTAGTAGTCTTGGACTTGAGTAGCTTTTTGCCTCAAGCTGGAAAACATCAAAATAAGTTCAATTCCACTGTGGTCTGAGAACATGCTTTGTAGCATTTATATTCTTAGGAATTAAAGTGTGTTTTGTGGCTTATAATGAATGGTCTTTCTTGGTGGATGTTCTGAGTGAACATTGTGTATTCTGTTGTTGGATAAAGGATCAGTAGTTCAAAACAATAGTTACTATGACAGTTAATTGTTGATGCTGTTGAGTTTAAATCCTTACTGATTCTCTAACTGCTGCATTGCTAGAGTGTTGTTGACATGTCAAAGTAAAATAGTGGATTTCCTTCTTTCTTCATCACTTTTTGCCTCCCATATTTTGATGTGCTGCTGTTAGGCAAATATTAAGCAAAAAATTAAATACACTCTACATGCTGAATTCTGGGGGGTGGGTGGGGAAGGAAAGGCAGCCTACGGTAGAACAAGGCACTGAGGAGGTAGAGTAGTTTCCGTGGTAAACTTGATACTGGCTTTTCATGATGGATGCTAATGAAAATAAAGAGCCATGTTTATTTTGGGTCAGAGACAGTTTATTTAAAATGCAATTTCATCTACATTTATAAGCAGCTTTTCTTGACAGGATTTTGATTCATTAAGTTGTCTTCAGTTCTAAAACCTCTGTCGCTTTCAAACTTAATGTGCTCTGTCCCAAACAACAAAACATATGAAAATATAATTTAAAGCACAGTTTTCACAGACACAGTACAATACATTCACTATACACGGTATAACAAAATATTCCCATCCTTACCTTTAGTAATACTGTCACAATGAATAAGCAAGTAGAAGTTGGAATTTGTTTTATAGTTGAAAGAAATGTTAACATGCACAATGACTATTTTATGACTGTTTAGCTGTTGAACTGCTGATCCAGCCTGCAATTTCTTGCACTAGAAAGAGCAAAAGCTAAATAACTGATGGCCTAAAAAATTTTTGGTCAATTATAGGTAAATGTGAAATAGCCAGTAGGGCCTTCTTATGTACCAACTAATGGCTTTTTCTGTCTAGATCACCCTTTTCAACATACAGAATAGCACTGTATATCAGGACCAAGACCATGCTTCAGAGATCTGAGGAAATTTTTAAAGGGCAGTGTCTTTATAAATACTTAAAAATCCCTCATTATGAGGGATTCACAACTTAAGAATATAGAAGCTTACTCATCTGGCTAACAGAAACATGGGAAGAAAGTTATTTTATAAGCAATGCAAGTTTGCGTTTTACCAGTTTTGTGAGCAGTTGGCCACCTCAAAGCAATTTTTATTGCATAATTAAGCAACTGGTAAACTCATGTTCAAGGAATAGCACTTGGGAGAAAAGAACACTCAAGGCATGATAGTATTGTTGGTGAGAAAAACATCAGGAATGGTCCAGACGTAGAGTTATTCTAATGGGTCATATATTAGTCATTCTTTGACCACCTGCTGCAAGAAAGCACTTAATTCTCAATAAGGCTCAACTTCATTTCGGCAAATTGTTTTATAAAGCTAAACAGACGTTTCAAGTGGAACACAGACATCTACAATGTGATAGGAAAAGTGCCTTTAAAGTCTAAAAACAACGAACATGAAGAGGAGGCAGTAGGGGCCTAAACAAAAATGTTCCCCTTTGAACCATGCTTGGAATTTTCTTATTTGTAACCCACAGGTTTGTTAGGGCAGTGGTTGTAAGAATTGGCAACACATAAAACATTAAATCTGTTGGCAATAGAGAACTACAAAGTGCTTTAAAGCTTCACCTAAAGATGAAGATAGAAATAAATTTTACACAAAATTTATATGTATTTCAAAATGTTTCCTAACAGATTTCAGGGAAACATATTTCACTAAATTGGTATCTTGTTCTGCAAGTATCAATAGACATAAATGGAATCCCTTGCACTCAATAAGTGTGTTAAATTAATGAGTGAACTGAACAGACTATTGTACAAAAACACCATTTATAACACTAAAATAATTGGTAAGTCAGATGGCAAGATTTTCAGCTTTTTAAAGACTTGCAAGATAATATAAAACACAGAAAAGCATACCTTTTATGTATGTTATTTAAATATGAAAATATTTTTAGCATATGTTAAACATTCTTTCTTAATTTATATTTCAATTACCTAAAGTCTTTCTACTCACAAATACTAACTCCATTATGTAAGGCATGATAACCAGTTTGATAATGAAGGTATTATTTTGGTTTTGAACAGAGTGAGTTAATGTGTTGAAAAAACCTCAGTCACACTACAAATCTTGGGGGGGGTGGGGGCGTGGGAAGCAAACCTCTGCCCGCCCCTCCTCCCCCAACTGCTATCACTGCAATACAACTGAACAATATGCAACATGCCCTCAACCATATTTGTTTTGGGGGAAATGTGCTGAGAACCTAGAGCTTTTTTTTTTTTAGCACCTTATATCAAAGTAATGAAAATGGATATGATGATTACATGTGCAAATGTACAAAATCATTAACTCTACAAAGATACATCATTCCAAAATTACAGAAAAAATTTAAAGCATGCATTTACTTCTTTAAAGGGTGGCTGAATGCTTCCCCTGAAAAAAGGTGGCTGTTTTCAAAATCAGCAACTGCTGGTGAGGATTCCTTGGCACAGTTATGACCAGCATGTTATTGCTGCATCTTCCTGATAATCTCAGCCGACACCGGGGGATGGAAATTGATTGTGTGGTGCCGCAGGCCCTGAGCTGTCTTGTAACTCTTACCACAACGACATTTGAATGGTTTGCGGACACGAATCTGTGTTCTGTGACCATTCTTAGCATGGTACTTTATGCCATTCACATTCTGTGGAGAAGATAGAAATATCACCTATTAGATGGAGTCCTATAATGTCCGTCCAAGTGGGAAAATGTCAGTGTGCTCTCGGATGCAGCTGTGCACATGGGGTCACCCCCACAGCTACCTCAAGGTAATTCAGACACGCCTCACTCTGAAAATGAAAGGACTGACTTCACATTGTATATAAAATATGTATTTGAGACTCAGAGGCTGTATAGAAGCACAGTTCCTCTGCATCTTTTTTCTACTCTGAAGAAAGTTAACAATGGGCAATTATATAAAAATATCCTCAGGCTGCTCCAAAAAAAAAAAAAAAAAAACAACTCTAAAGGAAGAAAACAGGGCAGGGCAGTAGAGTTCCAGACATGTATAAAATGACAGCTGTGGTGCCGGTACCTCCCTTACTGGAATTCCTGTCCGTTTTCTACTCTGCGAGAAGTCAGTGTCTCTGCCATGGTGGGAACTCCATGCTCACAGTAAGTAATACTGAGCAGACTAGTATGTACTGCATTCCAGACCTACAGTGAACTTGAACATCTTCAGATTATGGAAGTCTCAGCACAGAAGAGCCCTAGACTTCAGACTGGCCTGCAGATCTTATGTGGCACCCAAAACATCTAAATGCTTTCTGCTAATTGGTTTTGCTCACTTGTTAGCATATCTTATGTAAGACGCCATGGCTAGAATCACTCTACAGATGTAATAGCTACTATTGCTCATCCCATTAGATGTGAGTAAATGGGCTCAGGGCACTGACTCACTGATGGAAGACTTAAGAATAAGTATTGGAAAATTCCCATCAGCTGTTGCCAGATTAGGGACTGAGAGGGAAGAGAGAGGACCTGAGACGAAGTTGTTGAGCACAGATCACCGGAGGAGTGGGCTGTTTCTGAATCTAGTCCCACTGAGCCCGGTCCTATGCCCAGCTAAAGCACTCAGCACAGTCTTCTCTATCTTCACAAGTGGCCCTTGGTGAGCTCCCAGAGAATGGGACGGACTGTCTGCTGCTATTTCATGAGCATCTAGCACAGTCTGGTATTAGAGTGAATGAATTGGTTGGAATGTGCAATTCCTCTGGGAGGAATTGATAGTTGCCATTAAACAGTGGTTATTACTACTTACATTTCCTTCTTAGCGTTTCACAGTGCTCACTGGTACCTTTAAAAGTTTTTGGTAGAGAATCCTGCTTGACTTTGTTGAGCCCAGTGGTGCCAAATAGCAACCAAGTGGCGGTGCTCGAAGTCTGAAGGTTGTCCAGTGAGTTGATCACAAGAACCCTTTGCCCTGAACACCTACCTGCTCTTGGCCTTCAGTCCTTGGCCCTCCTGCATCAATCCCCATGTGCAGGGTGAGGAAGCACCTCACTAGTCTTCTAAAGGGAGTAAGAGCTCACTGCAGTGGGACAATGGCAGATTAGACCCATTAAAGTAGTTACAAGGGTAGATATGCCGTGTCAGTCCCCTGCTGGCCCAGCCATCCCTCCAGACTCCCAGGCACGTAAGGAAGCCAACCTCCAGCTCTAGCCCCACCTGGTATCTTGCAGTCGTGAGAGACCCAGGTGAGAACTCCCCAGCTGGAGCCAGGCAACCCAGAACCATGGAAGGTAATGGGTTTAAGCTATTTGAAAGAGGAAGAGTTAATAATACAGTTTTATGACCATTAGAGAAAGATCAACTTTCCAAGTAATAGTAACACGTTAGGCAGTCTCCTGGCTCACAAATGCCAGAAACTTGAATTTGCCTGCTTCATAGCCTATTTATTAGCTCAAGATATTCACTTAGTGCCTACTAGGGTCACTTTCTGTGGATGGAGGGTTATTAAAACATTTCATGTCTCTGTTCTCCCAGGGAACTTGTTACAAGAAGGATCTTTAAAAATCCAACTACCCCTGTGCCCAGCAGTACCACGTGTACCTTGTCAGGGAACAGAGGACCAATAATAAACATCGAGCCAGGAAGCAAAAAGGCATAGCAGTGCCCAACAGGATCCGGGCCTGAGTGTTTACAATAATTAGGTGAGGGAAGCTTTGAAATCAAATGACTAAAGCCAGTCCAATACAAAGCCAGATGATCAGCGCTCACCAGAAGGGCAAACCCAGGTTCTGTGCTCCCAAATGGAATATGTATGTGGTGGTGCATGTCTGCCTGTGAGGAAAACAGCCAATTCCATACATCAGGCTTACTAATCTGGAAAGATGAGCTGCACTTTTGGGAACACATAGTCCAAGAACTTAAGACCTACCTTACCACCTTTTTCTCTGTTGCTGTCATTTAAAATTTTCACAAGTGTCAAAGTACACCCTTACCACAAATGTTAGTATTCAGACTCCAGATTTCCCCATTCTATTCACACACAGAGGTGGGAACTCCCACTTTCTAAGACTTTAGAGCAGGGGTCCTCAAACTTTTTAAACAGGGGGCCAGTTCACTGTTCCTCAGACCGTTGGAGGGCCGGACTATAGTTTAAAAAAAACACACTATGAACAAATTCCTATGCACACAGCGGCGGCAAAAACACCCGGCGGGCCGCATGTGGCCCGTGGGCCGTAGTTTGAGGACCCCTGCAGTTTAGAGTCTTAAAAAGATTCACTTACGTTTCTAATTGCAGAGACCTTAAGCTGAGTTTGGTCTTTAAAAGTTAACAAATAATGACAGGCAACTGGAAAATGAAATGCTTAAATCCTCTGACCTCTGAAGAGAGGAAAGGGAATTTAGCTTCAAAAGGGTGTGGAAGGTAGCTGACATGAAAGTCTCCTGCTGATGGCTTGCTGCCTCATTCAATAGCAGACACGGTAACTCCCTGGAATCATGGAGTCACGAAGCTGCTGGACGACAGAACTGAGTGGGACCCGGGGGTGCCCGGTTGCAGAGTCGGCATTTCCCCCCACACTTCCACGCCTACGTAAAGTGCCAGGTGCTCACTCCTTAGTGCAACCAGATGGTAGGCTCTGGAAAATCTTGGGAGTTGGGAAGGGTTGGGACACGCCGTCTGGAGAGAGCTGCCTGTGGAGTACAGCAGTCTGCCACAGGGCCAGCATGGAAGGGAGGAAGGGGCGGGGCAGGGGGGGTACAGGGCTGTGTGGTGGGCTGGGCAAGGTTGGCATCAGCTCATTTCCATGCCTGGAACGACCTGCCCGGATGAGGGAACTGGGCCTGACAACAATTTAGAGTCTTTTCTCAAAATTCCACTTCAAATCAAATCATGAAACCTAAAGTCAAGCTTGGCCATCGTGTCCTTAACACGTTAAGCGCCATGTCAGTCACCGGTGACTGACACTGTACTTTCTGTCCGGACCGGTCAGTCACTGATGCCGGCAGCATATCGGTGAAATTGGATATTGTGGGCTAAACAGAAAGAAGACAAAACAGGCTTGGCGCTTAACGTGTTAACTGTACTTGATGTTGCTGTCTGTCTGAGGCTGAGTAAGGTATGTGACACGTGCCCTTGATAGAAAAACCATCACTTTGAATTTGCTGCAGCCCTTGATGTTCTACAAGCCCTTGAAATTGCTTGGGGATTTGATGAGGAAGAAAAGCGAAGAAGCAAAAGCTGGGGGTCATGGTGATGAGTTTGGAATTAGAAGTAAACAGCATATGGAAAGGTCAAGACAGCTTTAGCCTACGAGTGGGGAGTCAGTCTGGGAACTGGCGGAGGTGGCATTTGCACCTTGAAAAATGCGGCGAAGAGGGCATCCTAGGCAAAGGAATTAACATGGGAAACTGCGGAGACTTAGGTGTCCTACGGGTCCCTCTCTCTTGTCCTACTCAGTATGAAGCCTGGGAAGTGAAGATACTCATCTTTCAGTTCTGCAAATGCCCATGAAAAGGTGAGGAAAGCTGATCCTGAGTCAGTGCCCAAGACACTAACTGTTAGAGAATCCCTGACACTGGGGCAGATAGCGGACAGATGTGATGTTAGCCTTGGAAACAAGGTGGCGGCACTTGGGCATTCTGCCCGACACCACAGCACGCAGCACCCAGTCCAGCCATCATGCGGTAAATAAGGAGCTCCACTGCCCGCGGCCAGTCACTGCCCAGCAGAAAGAGGCGGACGGAGCTTCAGGGAAGATGACACGCATCTCTAGCACTTGGTTAGGAGGAGTTACATGTTTGTTCTTGTCCCCTCTATCTTACTAGACATCCTGGTCAGAAAAGGAAACTCGTACTTCCCTTGTGGAACTCAGGACCATGAATTGCCACCACCCCTGTCATCTGTCGGGGATGCTGAAGCAGCCCAAGGAGTCCCTCAATTTTCGTTTGGCCTTACGTGGAGAATAAGCACCCCCAAAAGCCCTATCGGCCCAGACCTGGACAATTACTAGAGGAAGTTGCTAGAAACCCAAGAAAAATAAAAGCAGAAGGATAGTGACAAATAGAAATGTCCAGGGGGAAGGGTATAAAAAAGGAATGAAGCTGGAGATGGGAATGCCACATCCTCGAGCTAGAATACAGGGTGTAGCGTTTACTGCAGGTGAGAAGAGCCTCTGGAAAGCAGGCCGGTACAAGGACAGTGTTCCCTGGCAAACTCTCCACTTGGAAATGAAAAAAGGGAGAGCAAAACAAAACCTCTTTCTGCAATGCAGAGCTGCCTCTGGGAAAAGAGCTTGTCTAACAGTCCCTGGGGTCTGGCATCCTGTCCTCTCCCGCCTCCCACCTTCTGAGACCTGTTCTGACCTGAGCAGGGCACCCCCGTGCGACTCCTCTCCATCCTGGAGTTTCATTTTAGTCTAAACACAGCGCATCTGAACTTGCCACAGGGAGGTGTTCACAGTCCACAGAGTTGGTGAAGTCTTGGGCCACTTACCTTACGATACATTTGTTTCATTCTTTTATCAGTAGCTGGTATAAAAAGTACTGAAATAGATTATTTTTTAATGTTCAGTGACACATACTTAAGAAAGAGCAATGTAAGTGCTTATGCTATCACACAATTTTTAAGCTTTTAAAAAAAAAGTCAGTTGCTGAGCTCTGGGAAATTAGCATATCAAATGCACCAGATACGTTTCTGATTTTTATATTTCTATCCCAGAGTTGGATTTTAAAGAGCTGCTAACAAAGTTTGCATTAAAAAAAAAGTTTGCATTAAAAAAAAAGTGTCCTCAACCCACACTGGCTTGCTGTGGGTGTTTTTCTCGTTTTGTCTCATTGAGGTTTTTAAATAAAAAATTTAGTGCCCAGGCATCCTATGACACCAGAGTCAGGTCCTCAGAGTCATGGCTCTGTGCCATCTACAGAGAAGAGAGGATGCTGAACCTGAAGTGGGTGGTTTGGTGAGAAAAATACCAAAGGCCCCTTTTCTCCTGATCTCCTTTCATGCCCCTGGGGGGCAGGGAGCAAGAGCTTTCTCAGCTGGAAGCTAAATACCCGACAACATTTCCCAAAAGGGCTCTGTGAGCCAGGCCTTTGTGACTTCAAAGTGGTCTCTGTGAGCCACCTGGACAGACCAGCACTGGGGAAGGTGTTTGGCAAATAAATAGGTGACACATTTTGTATTCTGATTGATACGGCATGAATCTAAAGAATATCAAAGGTATGGTCCTCCTACCAAGAAAAGCTCTTGGCCTTCAGCTCCACATGTCAGTGGAGGGGAAAACCCACTCAACACCTAGAGGGCACGCATGTGTCCCGGTGGGCACCGGGCACCCAGCGGGCACAGGAGAGGGACGCTCTCAGGACTGTCCGCTCTCTTCACCAGGAAGAATGGGCTGCTGTCTGACATGGGACTTGCCCTCTCCTGTATGGTCAAGCCAAGTGAGGTGGGACCTTTACCTTATATCTCTTTTTACATCCAGGAACTGGGCAGGCAAAAGGCTTCTCCTCCCCTCCGTTCATGCACATGGAGCTGAGGATGGCCTCGGAGCTGATGGCGCTCTCTGTGGTCCAGGACTCATCGCTGTCCGACTCCTCGTAGTCCACCTCCTCCTCATCGTACTCACTGCCTGCAGGGTCACAGAGCAAGGCCTGTTAGGAGCAGTCACCTCCCCGCAGGTGCACTCTGGCCCCAGAGGACAGGAGGAGCCAGGGACCCAGGGGCAGGATGGGCAGCTCCTGCCCTGGGAGAGGGCATTCCAGGCACAAGAGCCGGCAAACATTATCTGGTCCTGGGACAGGCCTGGTGGGAAGGTCTCTGCATTCCCATCTAAGAGACCAGGTTAAGGACTTCCCACCAATCCATATCCAGGCATTGGCTGAGCAGGAGCTTGAACTCGGTTCTGTGGCAGCCCAGGCTTTGATTGCAAAGGTGCTGGGAAGCCTCGAAGCCAAAACCAAAGTGATCAATGACAACAAACTCCTCCCACCCCAACACACACACAAACAAGCTGCACCTGACATTGCCCCCTTAGTTTGATGCTTTGTTGGCCTAGTCAATGCAGGAATCTGCGGGAGGGGTTACATTTTACACTTACTAGGTATTTGCCTTTAGTGGGGATGAATTTCAGATTTTTTTTTATATAGGTTATGCTGGAAAGACCATGAGGAAATTTGGAATTAAAGGGGGTTTATCCAGAGCTAGGGGACAGAAATGCCTGGAGCTCTGGGCAAACTGTCAGGGTCAGAATACAGCTCCAGCTCAGGGAAGACCACCCCTGACCCCAGGGAGCTACCCCACATTCCCTGGGAGGCAGGGAGGGTAGGCCCACCCCAGTCAGATGGCTCAGGCAGGAGCCGGGATTCTCCGTATTGCTGAGGTGAACAGCTCTGCTGGTAGTTGAAGTTAAAATCTACTTCACTGACTTCTCCGGACGGCAGGGATGGGAGCCACTTCACCAGCAGCCCCCTTTTGCTCTTTTTAAATGAGGCCCAGAGCCATTTATTTTGAGCTTTTGCACAATACAACCCCGAAGGACATAATTCTACAGATCATAAACAGTGTAAAATAATATGTTGACAAGTCCTAATGCATTTACAAGCCCGGTGGAATAAATAGGAATTATAGCACAACATTAATAAGACTTATATGGTAGCAATTACAGTTGTGAAATTCATCCCCCAGGTGTGAGGCTAAATTGCACCAGGGGCCTGCCTGGGTGCTCCATGGGCTCTCTGCTACATCAATTATTTCAACACCAGATATTGGCACTTTTATTGGGTTTCATTTTAATAGGCATTAATAGGATTGTTTGAAGAGCCCGTTGAGCCAGGAACAAGGACGCCAGCATCTGAGGCTAACACTTAAAAGAAGGAGCCAGGGAGGAAGGAAGGGACCTCGGGTTGACTGAGTGCCTCTCATGTTTCACGCACGTTAGACGCCTTATCTCATTTAATCCTCCAGTGACCCTGTGAGGTGGGGATGACTGTCACTTTCATACGTTTGAGAAAACTGATCCCTGCGAGGCTCAAGAGCTTATGCATTCTCAATTAGCCATTAAGGGTGGTCGCTTTTCCCCACGCCACTTCCTGGCCCCTAATACCAGCAGCTCTCTGACGGGGTCCCAACCTTGTTGCTGGTTCTTCACCATCTACCACTCAGATGGAATTCAAAGTTGTCTGTTTTGAAACTCACGGATGGTGCAGAAAGAAGTTTGGCAAAAGTGAGGCCCTGGAGTTAACTGGGTTTTGGTGAGCCCTGCTGTACTTGGCTGTGGCCCCCAGAAATGAGATCGCTTTGGAAACACTCACAGGAGACAGCACAGGGTCCGTGCCACATGAGTTTGAGCAAGTCTCGAAATGAGCTTTTAAACAGGGCCTTGTTTAGGACATTTCACTCAAACAAATGCCACATGCTGGCGCCCTTTAAATTGCTTGTTAGAGAACCAGACTCGCTATTTCGCAAAGCTCCTCCAGCAGGGCTTCAGGAGGTCAGAATGACTCATTTATCCATCTCATTGGGCTCATTTGTTAACCTGAACACCAAGAACCACGCAGCATTTACGATGGCGGGAAAGCCTCCGACCGAGGAGGGCTTAATGAAGCCCAGCAGAAGAGAGAACCTCAAAACTCCACCGGATCAAAGGGGCCAGGTCTGAGGGGTTGGTGCTTTGGGTACAGTCACCTGCAAGCCACGTGGCATCCACAATCATTTCTGCAAAATTTTGCAAGCAACGATGATAAAAAGTGTTTCCTCTGTGGGAAAGAGGGAACTCAAACCCCAACACCCTGTCTGTCGATGTAGGTAATTGGGGCAGGGAGTTGGTTGGAACGATTTGGAGCGTGAGAGTCACAGGAAGCATCTACTACCCAACTGGGGCCCAGAGCCGGTGTCTGGGGATCAGCTGGCAGGCATCCCCAAGGCCACCCCCCTAGCAAGCTCTGTTAGGGAGCTGGGTCTGGAGTCAGAATTTTGGAACTAGGAGGAACTTAAAGGGCCACTGAATCCCACACATTGTAACGTCTCAGAAGTCAGCCCAAGGTCACGGTGACAGCCGTGTTTGGGGCGTCCTTCCTTCAGGCTACTTGGCTCAGGATTCTAAGCAGGAAAGGTCACTTTGGCTCATACCCATTCATCTTCATCAACCCTTCCTCCTCCTCCACCCGCCCCCTTTCTGTAAGTCAGCCCTGAATCCTGCTGAGTGCCACCTGGGTGGGACTGGGTGTTCACAAAACAGGAAAACCTGCTCTCTGCCAACACCCCTCCCCACACTTTAATATTCGAAGGGTCCAGAGGAAAGCTTTCTCACAACTAAAGAGAATCCACAGGCCTAAATTAAGAAACACAAAGATCCTGTGGAAACAGCTTCGTTAGAACAACGGCGCCGGGTTAGTGTCACCTACCCTCTGAGTAAGCCACCTGGGGAAGCTGACAGAGCAGGGACCAAAGTGAAGACATCCCCTGTGTTTAAAACAAAGACCGAAGGACTGGCTCAGGTTTCTAATTCTGATGAACCCATTCTCAATTAGAAGACAACTGACCCACATCTCAAAAGGGGCCCAAGGTCAGAGGACACAAAGGACCAATGGGCTGCTGGGATGCCGGGGAACACCCTGTGAGTTAGCCAAGCAGTCATCCTGGTAGGATGGTTCTTGTTTTTGTTGAGGCTCAGTTACAAAATTCCATGGCTCCGAGGCTTTGCCCCAACCTTCGCCCCATAAATCCTGGGATTTTTAGTGCACCAGCGGGCAGAATGGGACTTCAGGAATTCATAGGTGGCATGATAGCCCAAATGCCTGGTTTTTAGATTTGCCCTCCTTTTGCTTTAAGTCATTTGTTCCTTAAATTCTGGCATTTACCTGCCTACCTGAACCTACCTGCACTTACTTGGAGTAATTTTTTCAGTGGGAAATTGTAGCTGCCCAAGAATGAGCAAGTTTTGTTTTACACATGCAGTTCTGGGAACAGGAGGAGTTGGGAGATGTCACTGCCATTTAGGTTCGGGTGGTGGGGGTGGGGGCTCCTATGACCCTGGTGCTTGGAGAGGACCCAGTTTAACAGAGGCCAAAGCTGGGGTTCAGAAGGTGAGGGGTTGCCAAGGTCACTGGCTAGAAATAGGCAGACTGGGCTGGTAGTTGGGTCTTTGGTTCCAAAGTTTGTGCTCCTTTGATTTCTTTTACAATTGACCATGGCCAGTACAAGGGAGATAAAGATGCAACGCACAGTCTGAATCACTGGGGAGGAGGTAAATGGACACATCGGGTGGAGCCACCCACAGCCGCACGTGGGGGCAGTGTCCGAGCACGTGGAGGTCCAGTCTTTCAAAGAAGAGTTACCTGAGTTGTTAATTTGCAGACTCTTAGACATTATTAACCAACTTTAAAATGACATTCACCAGTGTTAGAGTTTCTACAGGAAAATATAACTTCACTGTCACATGTAAGTATTGGTGGACACTAACTTCCTTGGATTGAATTTTCCATTTTCACACCCCACAGTTGCACTGTCCCCACAGGGGGGCCTGAGCTGGGCAGAAACAGCAGCTCAGAGGCATTCTGGGGGCCCCAGGAGCTCATTTCAGCATTTCAATTTGGGAAATGAGAAAACTTAGCTAGGACTTCACGATAAGACAAATATATTGCTCAAAAATGCCTACTGGTTGTCAACAAAAGAAGTCAACACCAGAGCTGGTTTCATGAATCTCATGAAACTGCAAGGCGGTGCGGAGCGCCTGTCCACACACTCACCCACCTGGCCTGAGTGCCCGGGAGCCTTCCAGTGCTTCTGCCGAGCTCACTCTCACCTGTCACAGAGCCACTTCCGATCTTGTCCCCTCGCCTCCAACCTCTGCCCACCTTGCCCTTTGCTCACCCTTTAACCTCTGCATTTGGCTGCAATCCATTTTAGCACCTACACTATTCTCACTCTGTATTCATAAACATAGTGACATACAGATAAAAATAAGTCAACCTTTTCCAGAAACCCAACACGCCACATTTGTCTTATAACACAGGTCATTAATATTCATGAAAAAGTGATAACCTCAGTGACAGCAAATTAAAACTCTCCTGGGGTGTCAAATTCTGGCAAATACATTAATAAAGAGTTGCCTTTCTGCCTTACAGATTTATCACTATAAATTAGCTTTAATTGGTACTGACCCACTTTATAGGAGCTGGAGCAACAATAGTCTAAATGAATTGGCAATAGACAATTATGAGGAAAGACACACTAACGGCTCCGGGAACCATGAGCCAAGTCTTAAATTCCTGGCCGCCTTGCTCCTGGCCTCAGCTCACTCCTGGAATGTCGTTTTCCCCCACCCCCTCCTTGGCTATGGAATGGGTCCTTGTTCTCCAAGCTGGAAGTGATGTCTCCCTCATAGGACTAAACACTCTAATGAATTATTAGCTCTTAGTATCCCATAGTGCCCAGGGTGTGCATGCATTCAAGGCGCCAATGGACATATGTTTGTTGAATGAATGAATGAGAGAATATCCTTCACAGACTTTAGTGGGGGACGGGATGCAAAAGTACACAGCCTCCCCCAGTCTTAAGAAAAGAACACTAGATTATCTCGCTTGCTTCCACCCACAATGGCTTCCCACAGCGCGGAGCAGCCCAACGTTT